CAACTGAGCCACCCAGGTGCCCTGGAGAGAGAAAATCTTAAGTGGGGCTTAATGCGGGGCTCTGTTTCACAACCCTGAGATGACCTGAGCCAAAATAAAAAATCAGATGCTTAACTGACTGAGCTACCTAGGCACCCCAAGAATTTTTTCTTTTTCTTTAGTTTTCAGAAGTTCATTTGTGATGTGTCATTGCATGGATTTATTTGGGTTTATTTTGTTTAGTATTTGCTCAGCTTCTTGAATCTATGTGTTTATGTTTTGCCACATTGGGAAAGTTTTGGGAAGCTTTTGGCGGTGATTTCTTCAAGTACCTTTTCAGCCCTGTCCTCTTTTCTCCTCTCCTTCTGGGACCCTGAGGCCACAAATACTAGATTTTTTGTTATAGTCACACAGGTCTTGAGGTTCTGTTCAATCTGTTTCAGTCTGTTTTCTTCCTGTTGTTCAGATTGGGTAATTTCCATTGTTGTGTCTTCCAGTTGATTTTTTTTCCTCTCTTGCCTCTGTTCTGCTCTTTTTTTTTTTTTTTTTAAGATTTTACTTATTTCAGAGAAATAGAGGGAGAGAATGAGTGGGGGGGCGGGGGGAGGGAGGGGTAGAGGGAAAGGGAGAAGCAGGCTCCCTGCTTAGCAGGGAGCCCGATGCAGGGCTTGATCCCAGGACTGTGGAACCATGACCCAAGCAGAAGGCATACGCTTAACCGACTGAACCACCCAGGCACCCCTCTGTTCTGCTCTTGAGTGGGCCATCCATTGAGCTTTTTATTTTGGTTATATTTTTCTTTTCTCCTTTCCTTTCCTTTCCTTTTCCCAGTTGTATTTTTCAATTATATGGTTTCCATTTGGTTCTTCCTTACATCTTCTATTTCTGTGCTAAGACTTTATTTCTTTGCTGTGGCTTTCTTTTTTTTTTTTTTTTAAAGATTTATTTATTTATTTGAGAGAGCGAGAATGAGAGAGAGACAGTACATGAGATGAGGGAGGGTCAGAGGGAGAAGCAGGCTCCTCGCTGAGCAGGGAGCCCGATGTAGGACTCGATCCCGGGACTCCGGGATCATGACCTGAGCCGAAGGCAGTCGCTTAACCAACTGAGCCACCCAGGCGCCCTGCTGTGGCTTTCTATATTTTCATCTGTTTCAAGAATATTTATAATTACCTATTGAAGGATTTTTACCATGGCTGCTTTAAAATCTTTGTCAGATAAACAAAAACACAAAGAAAACAAAACAAATCTTTGTCAGATAATAATAATGTCTCTGTTATCTTGGTGTTGTCATCTGTTGCCTGTCTTTTTCTTAAAATTTTTTTTTAAAGATTTTATTTATTTGAGAGAGAGAATGAGAGAGAGAGAGAGCACGAGAAGGGGGGAGGGTCAGAGGGAGAAGCAGACTCCCCGCTGAGCAGGGAGCCTGATGTGGGACTCGATCCCGGGACTCCAGGATCATGACCTGAGCCGAAGGCAGTCGCCTAACCAACTGAGCCACCCAGGTACCCTGTCTTTTTCCTTTCATTTTGAGATCTACCTGGTTTGGGGTATGATGAGCGATTTTTCAATCAAAACCTGGTTATTTGCATATTATGTTGAGACTGTGGATCTTATTTAAACTTTCTATTTTAGCTGGCTTTTTCTGACTCTTCCAGCAGGAAAGGGAAGGATGCTGCCTTGTTACTGCTAGGTGGAGATAGAAGTCTAGGTTCCCTACTTGGCCTCTGTTGGCACCTCAGGGTTGGGCACTTCTTTTTACAGCTGGGTGGGTGTGGGGGTTCCGGCGTCTCCACTGACCCCATAGGATAGGAGGGTGCTGGTTACCAGCTGTCAGGGATGAAAGTCCTAGTTCCCTACCTGGCCTTCTGTGACTCCACCCTGGCAGCATGTTGGGTGCCTTATTAAAGCCCTGCAAGGGTGGAAGTCTAAGCTCCCCACTTGGTGTTTGCTGGTGTGAATGGGAATGAGGCCCCAGTTTTTTGTTTTTTTTTATGGTGTATGGCTGGAGTAGAGTGTTTATTGTCTAAAAATTTTTTATCTTTCTAAGCTCTCCCTTTCTTGGTCTTTTGTCTAGAGAACACAGGCTTTTTTTGGGGCTTCTTTTTGGTCTATGCTTGTTGGCGTTCCTGGATTGCCAGTTTCCTCAGCTCCAGGTCTGAGATATATCAGAAAGAAAATCCAAGGAACTCACCACCATGTCATTCCTCAAGTTCAAAGGCCCCTAGCCAGTCTCTCTTTTTCTCCAAACTTCCAGAGTCTTCTCATGTTTGCTTTAAAAATAATGTTTAGGGTTTTGGGCAGCTCTTTCTGCCCATGGGTCCTGTCCCCATGCTTTAATAAAACTACCTTTTTTGCACCAAAAATAAATAAATAAATAAATAACAAATTAATAAATTAATAAATTAATTCATTAATTAAAAATTAATGGGGGTTTTTTTGTTGCATGTTAACAGGAAGAAGTTATATTTCTAACTCAGGCTTTGTCCTGAACTCCAGACTAGTTCATCCAACATTTCCGTTTGGATGCTAATAGGCACCTCAGTGGCACCATGTGCAAAAATGAACTCCTGGTCTTCCCCAATAACTGCTCCATGTACAGCCTTCTGCAGCTCAGTTGGTGGCAACACCATGCTTCTAGTTGTTCAGCTCTAAAGCACAGGAGTCCTCCTAGATTCCCTTCTCTCTCACTGTACATATCCTATCTGTTGAACAGCTAAGCTTGCTTTCAACATATCCCAAGTCTGTCCCTTCTTGTCCCTCCATTTGCAGCCACATTGCTCCAGGTCACCTTCACCACATAACAGTGAGAAGATTCTGATAATAACATGTCAATTCCATACCAGTCCTCTTTGGCCCCCCACGTCACTGTGAGTCAGCTCCAGTGTCCTCTGGTCACATGGGTCTCCTTGCTATTCCTCAGACATACCAGGTTTACATGTGCCCAGGTCATTTGGGGAAGTTATATTTTAAAAAGCCATTATTACTTGATTGACATTGTCTTAAATTTATTATTTTAGAAAAATTGTTGTCTTTCCGATGAAAAACTTTCCTAACCAGCATGATGACTCTTTTTTTTTTTTTTTTTTAAAGATTTTATTTATTTATTTGACAGAGAAAGACACAGCGAGAGAGGGAACACAAGCAGTGGGGGAGAGGGAGAGGGAGAAGCAGGCTTCCCGTGGAGCAGGGAGCCCGATGCGGGGCTCGATCCCAGGACCCTGGGATCATGACCTGAGCCGAAGGCAGACGCTTAACGACTGAGCCACCCAGGCGCCCCATGATGACTCTTTTTATTCATCTCTTTTTTTTATGTCCCCTGGAGGTGCTTTAGAGCTTTATTTATGCAAATCCTGTTACTGCTTGATGCACATATATTTTATTGCTTTCCCATTATTTTCCTTTTTTTTAGACAATAAACAATTTTTAGACAATAAACACTCTACTCCAGCCATACACCATAAAAAAAAAATTCTTTCCCATTATTTTCAATTTTTTTTTAAAGATTTTATTTATTTGACAGAGAGATAGTCAGAGAGAGAACACAAGCAGGGAGAGCAGGAAGGGGAGAAGCAGGCTTCCCGCGGAGCAGGGAGCCTGATGTGGGGCTCGATCCCAGGACCCTGGGATCATGACCTGAGCCGGAGGCAGACGCTTAGTGACTGAGCCACCCAGGTGCCCTATTTTCAAATTTTTATTGCTAGTATGTAAGAAAATTGTTGGACTTATATATTTATTTCATGTTTCTCCTTGGGACTGTTAAAGCTTAACTCTCCAACTTTAATTATTCTTTGGTTGATGCCTCTGTGTGTTATGATTCCTCTTGGCTCTGTGCTCGATGTGGATCTTGCATGGGGTTCTTTCTCTCAGATCTTTTCTGGGATTACCCCTGCCTGCCTTACTCAAGCTCTTGTCTCTTAGGCCCTGGGTCCCTGAGACTGGTATGGGGGCTTCTCCTTGCCCCTCCCCTGGCTCTGTACAGGACCTCTATCCTGGCACTTAGAGCTCTGAACAGCCATTTCCTGCTCACTTTTCCTTAACCGAGCTTCATGATCAGTGAAAGCTCGGAATGGATTTGGTGCTCCATGGATATTTGTTGAAGGAATGAGTGAATGACCTTCCAACTAGATTTACTGGGAATGCTCTTGTATTTGAGAGAGTTCCTCCACTTATTTTCCAACTCCTCTGTTGACTTTTTTCTTGTCAGTGTGTGCATACTTTGTGATATTTTCATTTAAGCTTATTTCCTAGTGATTTCCACCAATATTCTATGTTCCAAATAACTACAGTTTGACAGTGAAGTGTTTCATTGGTCTAATGCCTAAAGACCACTCCCACACTCACCTTGTCATCTTCTGTAACCTGCTGAGTCTGTTGTCTTTGATGTTGCTGCTACTGACTTGATAACTTTTTCCCTCCCTCTCAGATTCAGGCTTCTTCAGGAGAAACCAAGTACACTGGGGCCTTGGACTGTGCAAAGAAGCTATACCAGGAATCTGGGATCCGAGGCATCTACAAAGGGACAGTGCTCACCCTCATGCGAGGTAACCCTTTAGGTTCTCCACCTGAGGTCACCTTGTTGGGGGGGAGGCGCATCTGAGGTGGATTTGCCACCGAGGGTCTTACCTGGATCCCCAGATTAGCCTTGGCACTATACAAGCTACACTTCTGACAAGACTGGCATGGTATGTCCTGTTTTTTAGGCAGTCTCACCCCTGGCCAGCATGGATACCAATGAGGTTGGGAGGACCTCTATCCTTCTGGCAGGCTGGCCCTCAAGGATGCAAGTCACTATAGTGGCAGTTACAGGGGAGTGGCAAGTAGATAGAAATCGTGGCTGGAGGGATGGGTGGAGGGGAAGAGTGACTAAGGACAGTGGGGCTCTCCCTGGTTTCGAGAGGCACGTCCTGCTGGGGTGGCAGTAGGAGAAGCAGACATAGCCTCACCCCTGTCCTGACATGGCAGCTTGGAGGAAGGCCAGAGGCTAGCTGTAGTTGTAACTTGGGGTGGGCATGTCCATGGGGACCACTCAGAGGGGACTTTGAAGGTGAGATGATGTCATGTGTGTTTGTGCTCACTCTTACCAGTGCTTGCCCCAAAGCAGCATCTAATTACTGCAAAGTGATTACTGCACATAGGAGGTGCTGCCGAGGAACTTCCCAGGAAACTTGGAAAGGGCCAGTCCAAGTGTGGCTCTTCTAAGTTCTAGAAAGCCATGAGGATTTTATATCATTTAATTCGCTTCTTTCTTGCCCCTAACAGATGTTCCAGCCAGTGGGATGTATTTCATGACATATGAGTGGCTGAAAAATATCTTCACGCCAGAGGGAAAGAGGTAAGGAGAATAGAGGAGCTCAGAGGCCACTTCCCTTGGTCATGGGTTGGTTGCCCTTTACTGTGAGTGGGTCTGAAGGTAGAGTGGGGCTTGCTTCTGGCTCCGTGTCCACTTTGCTCTCCTTGCTGCTGAAACCCAGCTAATACTGCTTACTCTGTACCTTGCCTGTTGGAGCAAGTATATGAAACAAGTTCATGAAACCCCCTCCAAGGAGTGGCAGCTGCCATGTCACCGGAGCCCTGGCCTTGGCCCTCCTCCCTCTGGCCAGTTTCTCCCTCTCTCTAACTGCCCCATCTGCTGAGGGAGGGATGGTCTGAATGCCTCGCTCACAGCCTTTGTCTGACTGGGGCTGTGGTTGGTATTCTGCAGTGTCAGTGAGCTCAGTGTGCCTCGGATCCTGGTGGCTGGGGGCATCGCAGGGATCTTCAATTGGGCTGTGGCAATCCCCCCGGACGTGCTCAAGTCCCGCTTCCAGACTGGTTAGTGGAGGGTAGTGGGGTAGATGTGGGTGGAGTGGGTACCAGAACTGGCTGCCCCTGGGATGCAGAGCTCTTAGGGTCCTAGAGATACTGTCCACAGCAGCACCCAGCATCTGCCTGACCAACATTTTCCCTTGCAGTCATTTGTGTTCTAGGAACCCTAGACTCATTCATTTCCTGTTGGCCAAAACACAAAATAAGTGAGATAAGCAGTCAAATCAACTCTGCTGCCTTCTCACGAGCAGAAGGACTATTAGATTCTTCATTCTTCCTCTCCACTCCCTCAGAATCAGTAATCCAGACATTGTGTCTGTTTGTCCCAAGGTGGTGAACTGTGTTGTCTGTGAACTGGTCCCTGATGACCTAGAGGGTGTCCTGTTCCTGATGCAGTGACCTTGCAGGAAGACTTGACTATAAAATTGTCTCCATGTGGGTCACCACAGGCAGGTCAGGAAGCTTCCTAAAGCCTTAACAGTTGGATTCCACCCGCAGCACCTCCTGGAAAATATCCTAATGGTTTCAGAGATGTACTGAGAGAGCTGATCCGGAATGAAGGAGTCACATCCTTGTATAAGGGGTTCAATGCAGTGATGATCCGAGCCTTTCCAGCCAATGCGGTGAGTGGAAGACAGGGACTATGCTTTCCCTTCAGGGCTTAGAGCAGGTTCCAAGGTCTAGGGGGCTGACTTTTGCTTGTTCCTAGGATTGGACTGGGGGCTCAGTTTTCCCCAAATCCCACCCTTGGCCAGAGCCTCCTTATTTGCTTCTTTTCCTGAAGCTTCAGGAGGGGATGTCTTTGGGATTCTTTGAGGGGAGGGGCTTTTTTTTTTTCTTAAAGATTTTATTTATTCATTTGAGTGAGAGCGAGAAAGAGCACAAGCAGGGGGAGAGGCAGAGGGAGAGGGAGAAGCAGACTCCTTGCTGAGCTGGGAGCCCGACGTGGGGCTCGATCCCAGGATTTGGAGATCACAACCCGAGCCCAAGGCAGACGCTCAACTATCTGAGCCACCCAGGCGCCCCATGAGAGGTGGGGCTTTGATCTCCTGACTAGGTCATCAGAAATGGGTAGTTGTGAGATGTGGATTTTCTTCCCCTCTCAGGAATACCAAAGCACAGCTTGATTCCCTGACCTGGGGTGGGAATGAAGTTGGGGAGAGGTTCTGATGAAGTTAGGGAAGGGTTCTGGTCCTGACAGGGTCAGCCAAGCATGGTGCTGGGGTCTCTGTGATAGTCACAACCTCTGCTAGCTTTTTTCTTCCTTCTAACCCCTTCTCAGGCCTGTTTCCTTGGCTTTGAAGTTGCCATGAAGTTCCTTAATTGGGCCACCCCCAACTTGTGAGGCTGAAGGCTGCTCAAGGCTTCTGGATGGTGGAGGCTATCACAGAGGAGGAGCGGTGGGCAGGACTAGGCAGTCCTGAAAGGCAAAGGGAGGGGAATGGTGGGATCAGAGCTCTGTACATGGACTTGTTGAGACCATTGCCTTAATGACATCTTCTACCTGGTATAACTTGGTGTGCCATTTTGAAACTTGAATTTACTCATATCAGTTTAAGGGATCTCAAGAGGATTTGGAGGTGGAGTAAGTAGCTTCTAAGTAGCTTCTAGACCAGAGATACCACCAATGGTCAGAGAGCTATCTACTGGTTGACTACAGGCCCTACTACACCCAAAACACTACTCGAGAAAGGGAATTTCAGCTTCTTACTGGAGACATGATGCATGTTTTCAACCAGCTGACCAAGAGCTGGTGTTTTCTTCGATCCCTACCCACCAGATTTCCAGGGTATCACTTAATCCTGGCCTGCACATGGGGATGTGGACTTCAGGTCCACATCTCTCTGTCCAGGTGGACTGAGCAAATGTGCCTAGGGGCAGATAGCCTGTTAACAGTCGGGTTGATTTTTCTTTTTAAATGCATGCAAGCAATCAAAACTAAAACTACAGTAGCCTAATTTCCCAGGAGTAGATGGAGAGCTTTCCCTCCTACACAGCAAGAAGGGTTTTGAATTAACAGTCCTAGCCTGCTGAGATAAGTGACAAAGCCTGGGGTGTAGAAAAGGCTCTTTTCACGCACTCTTTTCTCATGAGAGTGCCCTATTTTAACAGGAAACAATAAATATTGTTTCTAATTTTTGCATTGTGTGAAATTATTTTGATTCTGGGTCATTTCAGCAGGCAGCCTGTGGCCTTGGTGGAGGCTGTCAGGGATCTGGTATCCTTTTGTGGCTTCAGGCAGGGGCTTCAGCAGGAGAAAGAGGAGGAAGTTTTGGCTAGTCCAGACTTCCCTGACTGTCCTAGAAGCAACTGCCTGATGGGGAAGGGAAATGGGGTGGGGGGGGCTTGATTGCTAACTGTTCCCATAGTCCTCAGTATAAGCCTGCAGCCCTTCCCTTCATTCTTTCACCTCTCTGCCCTGAGCTAACAGATGATGGTTCTAAAAGCCAAAAGCAATCCTGACTTATCATATGAATTTGGGGGTCACTGTGATCTGATGTCACCAGCCAGGCTTTGCTAATTAGGCTATTGATGATGCCCAGGTACATCCAGAGGAGGTAAGGGAGACAAGTTAATTTGTCCTTGTCTGGTGGCTGGAGCTGGGCTTCTCTGGCATTGTCCCATCTGGCAGTCACAGTTAGAGTTCTGCTGTATGTCCCACCTTGCCGCAACTGCACAGAGACCCTTGGACTTTGGCTTTAGCGCCATCACTCTGCATAAGGGGGGGTGAGGGGACAGGGACCCACCCCCATCTGGGAGTGGGCGTGGCCAGCCCGGCAGGAAGCTGAAGATTTGGGGGTTTAAGGAAGGGTACTTTATTCCTGGGAAGATATTTTTGGATGGCCAGAAAGGAATTATAATCAAGTAAAAACAAAAAAACATTGTTTAGAGATGAAAATTGTGTGCCCTCTGCTTAGAAAGATTAATTCAGTGTTCTGCCTGCCCCCTCACGTGGCAGGCTGTCTTTATTTAATCTCACTGGTTTGAAGAAGGCCACATATGTGTTTCTTGAAGCTCTTCTTGGCAGCACCCTGTCCTTGAGATAATTCTGCAACCTTAGCCTTTGCCTGGAAGCCCCTGTGAGTGCATTTGCATTCCAGCCAAATGACAGCCATTCCCATGGCTCAGCATCACTTTTACAGTCCGTGCTTCTGGATAATATGCCCTTTGAAATAGCTTCCATTTTAAAATGGAAAGTTTTCGTTCCTTGATGTTAGTGGTGGTAGATTCTTCTACTCCTTTGGTTGTTCAGTAGGTGTTAAGTCAAATAGGAAGCCCCAGGAGACATATTTGTGAAGGGAGCAGAGCAGATGGTGAGTAACTCCCTCCTGGCTGGCACTTCCTTTTTACGATGCACTTTGAAATGCCACCTGTTCCTGATATATCTCTTCTCTCCCTGATGGGGGTAAGTGTGGGGGAAAGACTGGGGCCCTCCTCAGTAATTTCTCTGTCACAGACAGCATTAAGTAGAGAAGCCAGACAGCAGGTGTTAAAACAACCAGCCGGTGATAACAGCCTCACCCAGGCACAAAGAAGAGTATAACTGGGTTAAAGGTGAGGGGCAGACAGTGGATGTTGCGAGAAGCCTATTAGAAGCAACAGTAGCACCATTTCTGCTGTAAGGTCATACCATCTCCACCCACAGTTCTTTCCCTACAGTTCTTTTGAGGCTGGAACCCCCTATGCCCTTTCTAACATTCCCATGGGTTCATTCTTATTTCTTTATCCCCATGTCACTCAATGTTTAGTGGGCAGGGATTTTTACCCCCACTTTCAGATGTGCAAGCCAATGCTCAGACAGGGTAAGCTGATCTGCTAAGATCATTGGCAGATTGATAATAGAGTGCAGGTAACAGAGTGATGTCTGGGTGTCCACAGGCCTGAAGAAAGGCTTGTGAAGCTATCAGAGGCTGTCCTGGGGCTGCTTGACCCAAGCTCCAGGAGGCCTGTCTGTACTACAGGGTCAAAGTCTGGCCGCTGGCCTGTGAGTCAGGCCACAGGTAGCGCAGTCCCAGTAGGCACTGGGAAAGCCCCAGGGCCAGGTGTTCCCTGAGGGCTCTCTTTTCTGCTTTTTCTGCTCTGGTGAGCATATAGGCCTGTGGCTCTCCAGCCAGGCTCTCCCTTGCTTCCCAGGTTCTGTCCTTGCCTTGAGGGGTCTCTGAGGCAGGCCCACGGTCCGCTGCAGAAACTGACACTTTCTTGGGACACAGTGTCCTGGGGAGGGGGTGGCTCACAGGTGCGAAAACAGGTGGCCTGGGAATTAACTGCTCCCTGGGGCATGGATGCTTGTTGAAATAGAGCAGACTTCCTGGACCAAAGGCAGGAGCCACATGAGGGAGGCATTATAGAGGCTGAAGGACAGCTTGGGTGATGACAGAGAAAACATAGCCCACTTCCCCAAGCCTTCCTGTCCAAGAGGCTCATAAACACTTCTAAGGCAAAACAGAAACTGAGGGGGGTAGATACTAAATGAACTGGAAGACTGGACCAGAGGGGCTGGGATGCAGGGGTGGTCAGATGATCAACAGGTCCCAGGAGACAGGTAGGGGACTGGAGTGGCTCAGAGATCCCCTTTGGGCAGAGAAGAGGGAGGTGTTGCTGCTTGGGCTGAGTTGACTCCCACACCCCCATTAGGCAGAGGGTATCACAGGGCAGAAGGCATATAAACTGGGAGGTCTGGGCCAAGAGAGGGCTTCCAGAGGAGTCTGGGGAGTTTGGGTGTTTTCCTTCTTCCTGGAAAGAGAAAAAAACCCTTTAAAATAATAAACCTATCAAAGAGTACATGAAATCCACTGTTTTATTGGAAATAGTAGTTGGGGTACTCTACCCATGTTCATTTTCACCAGACCCACTGCTGTTGGGCTAAACATGTGCCCCACCTGTGTTACTGTGATCCATAGTTGTAAACATCTCTGAGAATTGGCCCCGTTGTGTTCATGTCTGCCCGTGGTTGGTGGTGTGGCAGTCTGTGTAAGATTTGACTGCCTGCTGGGTAGTGACTCCTAGGACTGGCGCTTGGAGCTGAGCACCTGTCAGTGCTCTGGGGCCTCCTCTTCTCTGCTACAGTCTCTATATTTCTCTTGCTTTTGAGGGTCTCTGTTTTTGCCTTTTCCCCCACCATCACTTACTGTTGGCAGCTGTTTCCCAGTTACCTGCTGCCTGTGGGTTTGGTTGCCATGGTAACCTCTAGTGGTAGAGCTGGACAGGCTTGAATGAAGGCACCTCCTAGGAGGGTAAGGGTAGAAGATGTGGGATTCAGGGCCCTGGTATTCTCTCTTGCTCTAAGGCACTCTTCTATGGCCAGCTCAACTGGGCATTCATGGAAGGCCCTTGGGACTCCACTTGCAACAGAAGGGCTTCCCAGAAGGGGCAGAGATGGATCCCTGCTCTTGGACCAGGTGCTAGGGAGGGGAGCCACATAGGGCCTGGAGGCTGGCTGTCCGTCCTTACTCTCATAGTGGTCTGTGGAGACAGGTAAGGAACAGCTATGGGGTTCCTGCTTTCTGTGGCCCTCATTCCCTCCACGTCCAAAGATGCTCTTTGAATGTCATGTTTGCTGGATGGATGGATGGCCAAGCCTTGGGGCAATTGACAGCAAACCAGTCTACTCCTGGCAGAGGCTGATGGAGGTTTCTAGGAGTGACTGGGAGAACCTGCCCACACCCAGCTCTGTCATCAGCCTAGAGTAGCCTTCCTCTATCTTATTTTGTAATTGAGGTGAGAGTCCTAACCATACAGGCGCCTGTCCCCCTTTAAAACATATAAAACCTGAAGAATGAGCAAGCAAGGGAGTGGAGCTGTGAATTTGCCTTTCCAAAGGGTTGGTTGTAGGATTGTTTGAAGCAGGCAGATCCCCAGGTGTGGTGGGTGCAGTGGGAGTGACACCCAGGTTTTCTGGGTATGGGCTGATTCCTGGAAAACTTGGAAGGGTTGGTCTACTCAAGAGCAGATGAACCCTGCCCCATTAGCTTCTTACTGCCCATCCTTAGTGAAGTGTTCATAAGCTGAGATCAGAAACACACTTTAAAGAAAAGGATCCTGAGACAGGGGTCAGGAGAGCAGTTTCACTGACTCCACTTGCTACGGGGAAGCATTCATTCATTCATTCAGTAAACCTTCTCCAACAGTCTGTAGTAAGGAACCGAGAGGAAACAAATTGGACACTATCCCTGCTCTCACAAAGTAAATTGCACAAGACTCCCCCCGGGGGTCAAGGAACTTGTGCAGGGAGACACTGGTGTTTGGAATCACAGGCTCGCCTGGCCTAGAGCGTGGATGGCTTCTGTACCAGCGGGGATCGGTGCTCCTGTTTCCAGAAACTCAGTTTCCAGCAGCACTGAACTCCTGGGTGTGTGCCAAGCCAGTATGAGAGGTCTTAGTGCTTACTTTAATTAATACTGGGTAATTACCAGGTGGAGCTTAACCATCCCAAATGCCTTGGAGGTTCCCAAGCCTGCAGCTCGTCACTTTCTGTCTGGGCCCAGCAAGGAGAGGCAGGATTCTGTCCTATGCCCACTGGGACTTTCTTCAGCACTGTGACCCAGGACAATCACCTTTTTCTATTCCCTTTGATCTGGTGTGGGTGAAGGGGGCAACTTGGGAAATAGCCTAGCCTCTCCAGTTCACCTATGCCCCCTCCCTAGGGGCAAAGGATAACTGCTTTGTGGTCTGCTCAACACCACCAAACGGTGTGGGCCCAGGGTGGAGTGGGAAGAGAAGAGGCCTGCAGAATCCTGGTGGGAGTGCTCAAGAGGAGGAAGAGACCCAAAGGTGGTTCCTGCTCTGTGCCTTATTCCAGTTTCTCAGGGTACGTATTTGGCCTAGTGACTCTTCCAGGCTTATTTCTCTGCCTGTGGCTCCCAAATTACTATATCACTGAAACTCCTACCATCTACCACGCCTTTCCCGTCTGACATATCACAGACCTCCTGCCAGACTTCTGAAGGTCCTATTGTCATGCCACCATTCCACCCCAGGACCAGGGTGGTCCTGACTTTTTACCAGCCCTTTGCTCTTGCTGTCCTCTATATTCAGATGGCTTTCCTCAAGATTTTCCTGTAGTCGGATCCTGTCCAGGCCTCGGAGTCAGCCTGAATGTCACCCCCTAAAGCGGGTCCTCTTGCTCTCCACGACAGCCAGAACCACACTGAGGCTGTAATGTGCGTGCCAGGCGTTTGGCTATCTGGCTCTAGGCTGTGTCCCTGGAGCCTACCAAGTGCTGGCAAGCAGAAGGCTCTTAGTGAATGTTGAAACAATATGTGAAAGGTCTTCGGGACTAGGTGGGAAGCACTGACGACTCCCTTTAGCCGGCAGATCTCTCATGCCCTCGACTCGACGCGGGACTACACGGGACCGGTGGGCTGCCCAGCGGCGCACGCGCACTGGGGGCCGGCGGTCGGCGGGGGCGCGCACGCCCGCGACCGCGTGCGTCACAACCCGGGCTTCTGCCCCGCCCGTCCCGCCTGTCCGCTCGTCGGTCCCCGCGGCGGCGGCGGCGGCGGCGGCGGCGGCTGCCCAGTAACAACGGAGGCGGCACCAGGCCGGCCGTAGAAGCTTAGGGTCGTAGGGCCCGGAAACGCACACGCGGCCGAAGGGCGGCGCCGCTCGAGGAAGGCCAGAGCCGGGTCGCGCGGGAGGAAACCTCGCGGGCGCCGGGCGAGAGGCCGGCGTGAGGGAGCGCGGAGGCAGTGGCCGCTGCCGGCCCGGACCCGCCTGTTCTCGCGGCCGCCGCCAGCATGAGCCACATCCAGATCCCGCCGGGGCTCACGGAGCTGCTGCAGGGCTACACGGTGGAGGTGCTGCGGCAGCAGCCGCCCGACCTCGTCGACTTCGCGGTGGACTACTTCACCCGCCTGCGCGAGGCCCGCTCGCAACCCGCCAGCCCGCCCGCCGCCCCTCCTTCCGGCTCCCAGGGTCTGGAGCCCTGCCCTGGCCTGGTCGCCGACGCGAAGGCGGACACCGAGTCGGAGGACGACGAGGACCTGGATGGTAGGCGGCGGGCTGGGCCGACGTTCGCGGTGGGGGGACGGAGGTGGCGGCACGGGGGTCTCCAGCGGCGGTCTAGAGGGGCTGCGGGGGCCGACCACACTGGGCCGGGACCTTGGAGCTCTCGAGCGGAGTTTGTCGGGGTTCCCCGAGCCGCGGGCGTGAGCCCCGCGTGCGCCACTTCCCGGCTGAGCTCGGCGGTCCTCCGAGCCCTGTAGCGCACCGAGTGAGTTGTCAGATTCAGCCTGGGAGAAAACGTGCGCGCCTTCGGCCCGCGTGGTGGCGCGGAGCCCACGTCGGCCTCGCCTCTGCTGGGGGACCCTTCGCCGGGTTTGGTTCCGAAGACAAGGAGGCTCACATCCACCGACTCGTCTTTAATAACCAGGACGGTAACTTTGTTTGGAAATCATTCATTTTGTGAAAAGTTATGGTGAAAACTTTAAGCATAGGCAAAAGTAGAGAGAGAAGGGGTGAAATGAACCCCTATATGTCATCATCCACATTCAACAGTTTAAATATCTGTCACAAATGTTTCATCTCTACTTTTTTTTCTTTGCTCAAGTATTTTAAAGCAGATCCCAGTCAGGTCATTTCACCTCTGCATAACTGGATGTGGATTTCTTAAAATATTCTTAGTATTTCTTGAAATTTCTTAAAAGTATTTCTTAAAATATATGTAATATATATTTCGACTTCGCTAAAACGATTGGATCAAACGATTGGTGAGGATAAACAGTTACTATCTTGTTTAGCATATAGGGTGCAGGAAAAGACAAGTAACACTTTGTATATCTGATTTAGGCAAGGTTGTCAAAAAACTCCATTTTCCTTGGTTGCTTCAACATAGGCTTTGTCAATTTAACATTAGAATTATCCTACTTTTGAGCCGCCAAAATTTAACAAAACAATGAAAACAGATAAAGTTAGAAGACTTAGTGTTATTAGAACATGGGGGCGGGTAGTTCTGAGTCGAATCCACATTCACGTCCGTTAGCAAGGAGTTAATTATCCGTCATTGCTGTTGGAGGTTGTAAGCTTCAGGGTTGTGGACAACTTCCCATAGTTTATTCACCGCCAAGAGTAGAAATGGTTCTGTTTTTCTTTGACGTTTTGTCCATTAAATTATGAGATTTTCACCTTAAGCCTAGAAATCAAATTGTTATTTTCCAAATCTCTTGCACAGATTTGTTTTGTGGTCTAAAACAAGTGGTTAAACCTGTTTGATTTCAGATTCACTTATCTTTAAAATGGGGACAGTGACAATGATCTCCCAGGGAGAAATGTGTCTCTTAAAGTTTTATTTTTTAGGAGCGACTCCTACATTTGTTTGACTGTCATATCTATAAATCACAAAGCTGTAACCTGCTTTGTGAAATTTTTATGTACACATATTAGTATTTTAGAAATTAGTCCCAGATGAGTAAAATGGAATTTACAGGTTTTGTGTTAGGTCTACCTTCTTTGTAATCTTTGATATCTTTTTCAAAATTGAGTTGATTTTGATGAGTTGATGAGTTCAAAATTAAATCTTTGTAACCCTGTGCTTTATTTTATTGGCGTGTAAATATTTGTTGTTTATATCTCTAATGTGGCTGTGCTATGTATAATTATAGAAATCAACACAAGGTGAACTTCTATTTACAGATAATAGACTAAAAATACATTGCACACAATGAGATACCACTTCACACGCATGAGAATGGCTATTATGAAAAAAAAATTGCAAGTGTTGGTGAGAATGTAGAGAAGTGGGAGCCCTTGTTCATTGCTGTTGGGAATGTAAATGGTCTGGTTGCTGTGGAAAAACAGTTTGGTGGGTTCCTAAAAAATTAAAGAATTACCTTATGATCAAGCACTTTCACTGCTATGTATATATCCCAAAGAATTGGGGAGTCGTATATTTAGTTACATGCCAGTGTTCATTGCAGCATTATTTACAATAGCCAAAAGGTAGAAACAATTCATGTCCCATCAGCAGATGAATGGATAAATAAATTGTGGTATATACATACTATGAAATACTATTCATCCTTTAAAAGGAATGAAATTCTAATACATGCTACACCATGGATGAACCATGAACATATTATGCTAGTGCACTATGCCAGACACCAAAAGACAAATGTATGATTCCACTTATATGAGGTACCTAGAATAGGTAAATTTCACAGAGACAGAAAGTAGGATAGAGGTTAGCTGGAGCTGGTAATAGGGTGTTATTGTTTAATGGGTGTAGAGTTTCTGTTTGGGATGATGAAAAAGTTCTGAAATTGGATAGGGGTGATGGTTGCACAACACTGTTGGTGTACTTAATGCCATGAGTTGTACACTTAAATGGTTAAAATGGTAAGTTTTGGGGCACCTGGATGGCTCAGTAGGTTAAACGACTGCCCTCGGCTTTGGTCATGATCCTGCAGTCCCGGGGTCAAGTCCCACATCGGGCTCCTTGTTCACTGGGGAGCCTGCTTCTCCCTCTGACCCTCTCCTGTCTCATGCTGTCTCTCACTCTCTCTCACTGTCTCTCAAATAAATAAATAAAATCTTAAAATGGTAAGTTTTATGTATATTTTATCACAATTTTTAAAAAGACAAGAAACACATTACATATCCAGTGATTAGGAACATTAGGGTAATAAGCCCACAATACCTAAAATAAGAGCTAGGATATATAGAGTTGGATCTGTATATAGCAAGGGAGATTTTGTTTAGTATGGCTAACCACCAGTTCAGTTTATAAGATTGTATGCTAGGGGTGCCTCGGTGGCTCAGTCGGTTAAGTGGCTGCCTTCGGCTCGGGTCATGATCCTGGGGTCCTGGGATCGAGCCCCGCATCCGGCTCCCTGCTCAGCAGGGAGCCTGCTTCTCCCTCTCCATCTGCCTGCCACGCTGCCTACTTGTGTTCTTTCTCTGGATGGCTCAGATGGTTAAGCGTCTGCCTTCGGCTCAGGTCATGATCTCGGGGTCCTGGGATTGAGTCCCATATCGGGCTCCTTCCTTAGCAAGGAGCCTGCTTCTCCCTCTGCCTGCCACTTCCCCTGCTTGTACTCTCCCTCTCTGTCTGGCAGATAAATAAATAAAATCCTTTACAAAAAATAAATAAAAATAAATAAAATATTAAAAAAAAGATTGTATGCTATTTGAAACTCTCAAAAAAGTTACTAGCTGTTATTGGTTGTTTTAACAACAGTGTTTCAATGTCAAACGGCACACCAAATATGAAGTATTGTAATGAGTATTTAACTCTTGGGAAAGCCTGAAGACTTCAGACTTATTAATTAAGTTACTGTAACTGTATCTTCACCAGAACAATAAATTGGCATCCAGACTTGATTCACTTCTGTACTTACCATAAAACATTTACATCTGTGGGTCTCCCAGTGCGCGTGTGTGCGCGCGCGTGCTCGCGCACACACACACATATGTGTACACATGGAATACAGTTCACATACTATATAATTCACCCATTTAAAGTGTTTAATTCAGTGGTTTTTTCCCCCAATGGTTTTATTAAAATCACAGATATGTGCAACCATCACCACAACCAGTTTTAGAATAATCAATTTTCATCACCCCCAAAACAACCTCATACCCTAGCCATCAATGCCAACACCCGCATTCCCCTCTAATGTGCTTTCTGTCTATAGATTTGTCTATTGTGGACATTTCATATAAATGGAATCATACAGTATATGGTCTTTTGCTCTTGGCTTTTGCTTAGCATCATATTTTCAAAGTTCATCAGTACTGTAGCATATATTAATATGTTACTCCTTTTTGTTGCTGAATACTATTCCATTGTATGGATATACCACATTTTGTTTATTGAGTCATCAGTTGATGGACATTTAGGTTGTTTTCACTTTTTAGCTATTATGAATAATGTTGCTTTGAATGTTCATGTGTACAAGTTTTCATGTAGATCTATGTTTTTGTTTCTCTTTGGTATATATATGTAGGAGTAGAATTGTTTGACCATGTGGTAAGTCTCTGTTTAACGTTTTTTTTTTTTTAAAGATTTTATTTATTTATTTGACAGAGACACAGCAAGAGAGGGAACACAAGCAGGGGGAATGGGAGAGGGAGAAGCAAGCTTCCCGTGGAGCAGGGAGCCTGATGTGGGGTTTGATCCCAGGACCCTGGGATCATGACCTGAGCCGAAGGCAGACGCTTAACGACTGAGCCACCCAGGCGCCCCTATGTTTAACTTTTTGAGTAACTGCCAGATTGCTTTCCAAAAGTGGCTGCACCATTTTACATTCTAACCAGCTGTGTATTAAGGGTTCTAGGGGCACCTGGGTCGTTCAGTTGGTTAAACACCTGACTTTTTTTTTTTAGAGATTTTTTTTTTTAAAGATTTTTTATTTATTTATTTGACACAGAGAGAGACACAGTGAGAGAGGGAACATAAGCAGGGGGAGTGGGAGAGGGAGAAGCAGGCTCTCCGCGGAGCAGGGAGCCCGATGCGGGGCTCAATCCCAGGACCCTGGGATCATGACCTGAACTGAAGGCAGCCTCTTAACTGACTGAGCCCCCCCAGGCGCCCTTAAACGCCTGACTCTTGATTTCAGCTCTTGATCTTGGGGTTGAGTTCAAGCTCTGTGTTGGGCTCAATGCTGGGTATGGAGCCTACTTAAAAAAAAAACAAAAAAACAAAAAAAAACCCAAAACCCCTCTCAATTCTGTCCCACTGATCTTTGTATCTGTGTGCCACTATTACGCTGTCTTGATTACTGTAGGTTTGTAGTAATTTTGGAATCAACAAGTATGAGTTCTCCAACTTTGTTCTTTTTCAAAATTGTTTTGGCTTTTGGGGTTCCTTGAATTTCCAAATGAATTTTAGGATTAGCTTGTCAATATCTGCAAGGAGGGCAACTGGGATTTTGATAGATTGCACTGAATTTGTAGATTAATTTGGAGAGTATTACCATCTTAACATTATTAAGTCATCTGGTCTATGAATATGGGATGTCTTTCCATTTGTTTAGATCTTCTTTAATTAAAGA